TAACGATGGCGGTTAAATAGAAATGCAATTACAAACACTCAGTATCAACTAAACCAATTCACACCGACCGACAACTAACTGACTAACCAGTTAACCAACTAACCAAGAAATCAACTAAGTAACTATCTAACTCACTTACTCACTCACTCTTCTACTTACTTACTTACTTACTTGCTCACTAACCAACCAGCTTAACTAATTGAACCGACTAAGCAATAGCAGCATGTTGTCTTTCAGTATTTATTTAACACCCGAAAACAAATACGACACGGCAATCAGTTGAAAGCTGCAGAACTGTTTTTCACTCAGTTTTTTCTTCCTTCTCTTCATCATCCACTTTTTCTATGCTTCTGACTTCAAAAATGAACTCAAACAGTTCAGTGAGCAGTTCAGATTTCAAGATAAAGTGACATCCGGTAAAACCAAATAGCACTTATGTACCTCTGCGGGTTAAATGATTTGTTCGTTTTTGCGTGTTTATTTGTCAATTTTATCAATAAAAATTAAACCTTTTAGACAGCAGTTTTTTTTTTTGTTATTTTCGTTTTCTAACAAAAATAAAAAGTATTCAATTGCAATTTTTTCTTTTGTTTTTTCTTCTTCCACTTTTGCATCCAACAGTTTATACTTCTTATTTGGTGGCGGTTGTTGTAGTTACCGTTTGTTGACCTTCAAACAACAGTTAAATCCATTTTTAACGTTCACGATTTGAACAAAACAATTTATTTTTTTTATTTTTGAATCAACAAAAATGTAAATTCTAAACTGCTAATTGAGGAGTAATGTAAAAAAAACTCCTCCGTTTTTCTTTATTATAATTAAAAGAATGAAGAAAAAAAGAGAGAGAAATTAAAATCAAAGTAAAAAACTAACTAACTAACTAACTAAAAAAACAAAGAAAAAAGCTGAAAAAATAATTGATATTTGTAAATACATAATAAAAAAAGTTTTTTTTTTGCTTATCTTTATTTGCAGCAGTACCAACAACGAGTTTAAAGAAAAGAAGAAAAAAAAGTTGGAAACGGAGGATGGCACAAGAGGATCAAATATTATCATCATTACTTTCAGCTACCATCATCGTCTTCAGCAGAAGCAACAGTAGGAACGATAGAGCAACAGTAATGGTAGAAATATGAAGCATTATCATTATCAGTGACCATTACTGACAGCAACATTAATAGTTTAGGAAATTGAAAAAGGAGATGATGAAGAAGAAGAAGAAGAAGAAGAAGAAACGAAATCAGTGATAGAAGAAATAAATCTAAATAATTTCAATGTTGCTGTTTTGTTTTTCCGTTTTTAATGAATGTTTGAAAGCATATGAAAATTTGTTTTTTGACTATGTATGTTTGTGCTTCTCAAATGTTTGGTGACAATAACACTGAAAGAAGACAAAAAAAAATGGAGAAAAAGTAAAGTTGTTTCCCTGTTCTCAGTCGTCCATTTCAATTTTATTCCATTGCTGCTCCTTTTTTTTCTGTCTTTTTCTCATACCTTCCGGTCTCCGCCAATCCTTCTGATAAATAGTTATTTGTCGGATAGGTTTTTTTTTTTGTTTTATTTTCTTTATAATCGAAAAAAATTATTTTCAATATATCACTAAACAATATTTTTCTTTTTGCTATCTAAAAAATTTCACTAAAAAAAAAAGAGAACAAACAATGTGTTTGAAAATTGATCTGCGTTTCAATTTGATAGTTTTTATTCGTGTACTT